TGATGCACAGTTCTACATGGCTGGGAGGCCTCAGGAAACTAACAATCATGGCACAAGGTGAAGGGGAAGCAAGGCATGTCTTACATGGTGGCAGGAGACAAAGCACAGAGGAAAACTGCCACTTTTAAACCATCAGGTTATAATTCAAGATGAGATCTGGGTGAGGACACAGAGTCAAACCATATCAACTGGATGAAGAACTTGTGATACATATACACCATAGAATACTATGCAGCCATAAAAAAAGAGTGAGGTCATGTCCTTTGCAGCAACGTGGATGGAGCTAGAGGCCATTATTATAAGTGAACTAATGCAGGAACAGAAAACCAGATACTGCATGTTCTCGCTTATAAGTGGGAGCTGAACACAGTACACATGAACAAAAACAAAACAACAACAGACACTGGGGCTTACTTGAGGGTGGAGGGTAGGAGGAAGGTGAGAATTGAAAACTACTTATCAGGTACTATGCTTATTACCTGAGTGATGGAATAATCTGCACACCAAACCCCCATGATATGCAATTTACCTATATAACAAATCTGCAAATGTACCCCTGATCCTAAAACAAAAGTTAAAAAAAATTTTAAAAAGAAGGTGAAGTAACAACCCAAAGAATGAGAGAAAATATTTATAAATCATGTATGTCATAAAGGTCTAGCATCCAGAATACATAAAGAACTCTTAGAACTCAATAAAAAACCTAATTTTAAAAGGGGCAAAGTAATTAAACACACATTTCTCCAAAGAAGATACACAAATAGTCAATAAGCATATGAAAACACTTTCAACATGTTTAGTCATTAGGAAAATACAAATCAAAACCACAATGGGATGCCATTTCATTTTGACTTCACACTGACTAGGATGGCTATAATAAAAAACATAGACAATAACAAGTCTGCTAAGATGTGCAGCTAGCAGAACCCTCAAACATTGCTGATGGGAATGTAAAATTGTGCAGTCACTGTGGAAGAGTTTGGGGATTTCACAAAAATAATAAATGACCCAGTAATTCCACAGTTAGTATATTCCCAAGAGAAATGAAAACATATGTCAACACAAAAATTTGTTTGCAAATGTCCATAGCAGGATTACTCATAATGGCCAAAAAGTAGAGACAACCCAAATGTCCATCAGCTGACGACCAGATAAACAAAACGCAGTTTATATTGATATAATGGAATATTCAGCCATAAAAAGGAATGACGTTGTAGTGACACATGCTAGGTCAAAGATGCCAGTCACAAAAGTCACATATTTTATAATCCCATTTACATGAAATGTCCAGAATAGAAAAACCCAGTCAAAAAGTAGATCGGGCTGGCCCGAGTGCAGTGGTGTTTACAACTAATTGACCACAACCAGTTACAGATTTCTTTGTTCCTTCTCCACTCCCACTGCTTCACTTGACTAGCCTTAAAAAAAAAAAAAAAAAGTAGATTGGTGTTTAAGACTTGGAAACAACAGGGAATAGAGAGTGGCCACTAACGGTTATGGAGTTTCTTTTTGAGGTGATGAAAATGTTCTAGAATCAGTAGTAATGGCTGCACAACCCTGGATATACTAAAAGCCATTAAGTTGTACATGTTAAAAGGGTGAATTTTATAGGTATGTGATTTTTATCTCAATAAAGCTGTCATTTAAAGAAACTGGCACGTAACATTATTAACTTCAGAAACTGTGTGGTATAGCAGAAGGTGGCCTGCTCCTGTTTTCATTAATATGGCTCTGGGTCATTCATTCAATCACTGTGAGCCTGTTTCTTCATCTGTAAAATAAAAAGAATCTTAACTATCCAATCTGTCTCGTGATTATTTTTGGACAAAACTAGATACTGCATGTAAAAGAGTATTTGTGAATTATAAAATACTACACAAGCTCAGGTTATGTCTCTTCTGAAGTTGGATTAGAACAGTAGGAAGCAGGCCAGGCACAGTGGCTCACTCCTGTAATCCCAGCACTCTGGGACACAGCGGGTGGATCACTTGAAATTAGCAGTTTGAGACCAGCCATGGCCAACTTGGTGAAGCCCTGCCTTTACCAAAAAATACAAAAATTAGCCAGTTGTGGTGGTGCATGCCTATAGTTCCAGCTACTGGGGAGGCTAAAGTGGGAGAATCGCTTGAATCTGGGAGGCGGAGGTTGTAGCGAGCTGAGATTGTGCCACTGTACTCGAACCTGGGCGATGGAGCGAGACTCCATCC